ACACACACACGCATACAGACCCTCCGCTTCCTGGCTTCAGCACAAAATCTTTTTGGACAATAATAATAATAATAATCATAAAAATAGAATACTACTAAAAATAACAAAAAAAATCCTATAATAATAATAATAAATAAACCAACCCAAATAATAATTATAAACAATTAATAATATATATATGCCTCGGTCACGAAAAACATCCACCATTAGACCGCCACTACAATATACTGTGTACAGACCCCCCACCATGGATCATAGTACCATGACCCATACAACTACACCACAGATACAACATCAATAACTAGATACAGTACACACAACACTACGCACAACAGTTATGGGCCAGGGCGGCCACCGGCCCCAAACACACAGGACAAAAAAACCAAACCCCTCCTACCCACAAATGGCCAAAAAGGCAAAAATGTCGTACACACCAGTACCCAGTACACTAGGCAGAAATGACACACCTGACAGAAAAACGAAAACGTGCGCAACACAGCCAAGCCCCGACATCCCTCGCCTCCACCACAACCGGTCCACCTCCCAAAAACATGATTGCACCTGATACGCTAAGCGGACTGACACACATCCAAGACAAAAACGAAACCCGACAATCCTCGCCTTCACTATAGCCGGTCCACCACCCAAAAACATGACTCCGCCTACTACACTACACGAACTGACACGAAGCCAAAACTAAAGCAAACTCGTCTACTCGGCAGTGTCGACACCACTACCAACAATCCCGCCCAAAAGACAGTACCACCATTGTCTGCTATCCTACCCCCCTCTTATAAATGAACTAATGCTCACATACGCGTACTCAACAACCATCTCACCACATGCGGATACAGCCAACCCTTACCCCCTACCCTCAAATCACACCCCTTATATACACTCCCCTCCCCCACACCCACCAGACCATTTACGAACAGCCTCGCAAAATGGAGCCACGACCTCCATCCTGTCCGCATACCACCCTCAGCTTACAAAAAAACACGTAATACGCACACCATGCTCCCATCGCACCATCCCCATACTCCCCGCATACCACCACCCGCAACTTTTACTACTTCTAGTAATATCAGCAAGCTGCCACAACACTGCATTCCTCCTTGGCCTGCTTCTAAGACCCCCTGCCATACCTCTGCTCACACTCCTTGAAGACAATGAACGATGAAGACAATGAACACCATAAAGAAGAAGTAGATATGAGTTTTAATATCATGGCGATACCAACTTCCTCCCCACGTTACCTCGACGCACACTACCGAGGATTTCCCAATCCTTCTCCTCATTCGCCACTCAAATTGAGGATGAGGTCTACAACTCCTATACCTTTTATACTCGTCTTCGGTATTTGGATGCATCGGTCCTTAGCTGCGCCCTCATTGATCACGAGTTGAACGCATGAGTACCCTACGAAAAAAACCCTTAAAGCAAAACCCCCCGAACATACCCAGACAATTTTGGCCTCAAGTACCCTCAGGCCTACAGCCTAGACAACTCAAAAGTCATTTTTCCCGAGAAACGACAAAAAGCAACATCCACCGTATCCGTAGCCGTGGGAGAGTTCACCCCAAAAAATATATATATCCGAGTATTTCTCCGCAGTCTTGTGGCGGAGACAGCTATGCCATCGGTGCCGGATGTCACCACCGGGGTAGCCAGTAACCATTAAGATCTGAAGAAACGTCCAACTCATCCGTAGCCGCGGTTGAGTTTACCAAAACAGATTTTCCAAAAATTTCTCGGCAATCCAGCAGCCGAACCAGCTATGCCATCCGTGCCTTATGTCATCACCGGGGTGGCCAGTAGCCGTTAGGAACTAAGAAACACAGACATAATGCAGCCCAGTAGCAGGACTACCAGTCCTCCGAGTATCATACGTAACTGTCGTTAAGTTGTGGACCATTTGCCCGATTTCGTTCCATAGCCTGTCATCATGCCTCCGTTTCATCAATTTCAACCCTGCCTCAATTGTGCAGGTTGGGATACTAAGCCTCCTTAGTTCTTCGTTCAGAGTGAGCACATTCAGGCAGAGGAGACCACAGTCATTCATGTTCGTTGAGATTCGCTGGAGGGTATTTGCAATTGTAGAAAATTTCGCAACCTTAAGGCCGAACGAGGAAAAATCCTTGTAAGTGCGAAACGGCAGGGGTTGCTCCCCCCAGATATCAGATGCATTTTTGAATTTATGGGTTGTTAAGATAGATGCCCACGCATCTGAGATTATCAACCTGGTTTCGAGAAAATCAAGGATCCCGACCCTCGGGTCGGTCTGAACAAGCTTCAAGCCAGGGGGGTAGCAGGTTTCAATTTTATCCAAGCTTTGTTCGGCCTTCAATAAGCCTTCATGATCACTTCTTGAAAAGGAGGCAATGATGAACAGATCATCAATATATTTTTTCCCCATGATGTATTTCCCATCAGCACCCAGAGTACTCACAAACTGAAATTCAGCAAACATACAAAACACACAGGCGAGGGCCGGGCTGGCACGTCCGCCCATGGGGATGCCACACTTCTGGCGCAGGATTTGGTCGGTAGCTAGCAAAAAAGTGTTCTCCAACTGGAAAATGGTATGCCACACTCCGTCTCTGCGCAACACGCAACACAGTGTGCTTGACACTCTACCTCTGTCCGGTGCGGCACGATAAAGTGCCCCTTACGCTGGTCCTGCGTTACAGGCTACCTGATCGCACGCTGCACGACCACCTTCCGAGCTATGGCAGTGACTGACGTACCAGCGGCACCAACCATGACCTCTCAGGTATGGAGATCTAACCTTCTCTCTCCCTCTCCCTCTCACCCCCCCTCCCCCTCCAAGCCTTCCCTTTTTCCCCCCCCCGCTTTCCTAAACAAGGGTGTCGCACCTCCTTGCAACACCCTAACGACCTTCCACCGCAACCCGTACACTTAACTGGAGCCCTAACATCACTAATCCCTCTGATGAGCTGCTATGGGTGCTAGGCGGCGAAAAGCGCACCTCAGAGCGTGCAACCCCCCTACGGCTGGGCTTTGCCCTTTCCTAATTCTAACACACTAACATTAACAACCTAATCATAGCTCCTCCAATACCCCAGACCCCCACCTTCACACTATGTCCACCTTTGCAACACATGTCCTCCATAGCTGAATTGCTAGCTAACACGCCCCTAATGGACGATCTTGAGTTGTGGCCTGTTTTCCACATTCTGTGGGATAGCCGTGTTACGTACACAACCCCCCCCCCCCCCCCCCCACCCCACGCACACACACACACACACCCGTGCACGCACATATACAAACACGCACGCATACACACACACGCACATACACACACACACGCACATACACACACACACACACACACACACACACACATACACACACACACACACACACACACATATACACATACACACACACACACACACGCACACACGCACACACGCACACAAACTAGTGCGTTCAATTTTTTTTTCTCTTTCCTGATCAATCAATCAATCAATCAGTTTGTGTATCTATCAAAAAGGAAAAAAAAAAAGGAAAAAAAAAAGAAAACGGCTTTGGTTTTTCTTTTTATTATTATCTTTTTTTTTTCCCTTTTATATTTGCTTATTTCGGTAAAAGAAAAGAATCAAAGAAACATGTGCACCATGTTTATCCCACCACCAATCAGAAAAAAATGAAAAAAAAGTTTCTTTTTTTTTATTATGTTTCTTTCTAGGCTACCAGTCGGGCCGCCCGGGTCCCAGGTGGCGAGCCCCTGCAAGGACCAAGGAAGGTCAAAGCAAAAGAAGCAGAAAAAAATATTGAACAACTTTTGCCTTAGTGTCACATCAAAATTCTTCACCAAATTTCAAATAAAAAAATAAAAATGAAAAATATATATATATCTAGGCTACCAGAGTGGCCCGGGGTCACTTGCCCGGCCGGGCCAAAAAAAAATAAAAAATAAAAAAATAAATACGATATTTTAATTTTTTTATTTTGTTTTTTAAATTGGTAAAGAATTTCAATGTGACCCTGAGGCAAACGTTGTTCAGTTTATTTTTCTTCATAACATAGTTTTTTTTCGGAGTTTTTTTTTTTTTTTTTTTTTTTTTTTTTTTTTGCTGGGAGTCCTTGCACGGGCAGGCCACCCGGGACCCGGGTGGCCCGGCTGGTAGCCTAGATATATATATGTTTTTTATTATTATTTTTCTGGCCCGTACAGGCAAGTGACGTCGGGCCACTCTGGTAGCGTTGGTTTCTTTTGATTTTAATACTCGTTTTTCTCATTTTTACATTTAAAAAAAATAAAAAAAACATCAAATTTCGGAAAACAAAATATGGGGATGTAGGGATTTTCAAACCCTACAACCCCATATATACATATATATTTTTTCCGCCTATGATCCTAAAAATTGGAAATGTCGAAGGTTTGCATCCGCACTTGGCCACCGTGGCCATGATCCTGACTGCATAAGGTGAGGGGGTCCGCGGTCATAACCGTGGGTGATACATAGTTTGTGGTCTTATCGGTGCTTTCTTACCGGTGCGCATTAAAGTGACCTCTGATACGTTATGATTGTCATCATGCACAATTTTCTTAAGGATTATCTTAGTATCATTGCAAAATCCTTTGGAAGGTGACAAGTTCCGTAAAATCGTTATAGGTGCACTGATTTTGAAACGCAATGTGTGATGTGGTATTCATCGAAAGAATTTAAGAACTTTTGCTCATAGGGCATAAACTCCGTCGAGGCAAGAGAACTCTACATCACCAAGCAGGTTGCAGATATAGTTAAACACTCATAAAATCAAGTAATGAGTTAGTCTGTATGTGCAAATTTCAATTGAGAAACTGATTGTAGCTGGTTCATTAGGGAGCACCCGAAGATGTGTCCAATTGCCAACATCCAATAAAAGTTGGCATACAATTTTGGGATTTCATCATTCTATGTACTCAAAATATACACATTTTCTGTTAGTCGATAAGTCTTGAAAATTTCTCATATAGGAGATGTTTTCAGGGAGACATCAATCTGTTGCGCTCCATATTTCACAACGAGCAGATTTAAACTTGCCCACAATCACCTACAAGAAATATAACTTTCCCACCAAACGGGTCATCGATGTCGCAAAGGTCACGGAGCGTCATGTCCAGAGCTTTAAAGTAAGACTTGTTAATTATTAGAGCCTCATCCCACACAATTAAGTCGGTACAACGGAGAAGTTCTCCAAGATTAAGAAAAGTGTTCCCTGTTACGGTCGATCCATAAAGAAAAACATGAAGTGATATTTTCTCCTGCATAACTCAAATTACTTGTTCGACTAACACTTGTTGTCTTGGAAAGAACACCCCGAAAATCTATAAATGATTGTTAAAAAAAATAATAATAATAAATCTGTCACCGATGGGAGGCAGAAGCATCCCCCTACCATTATCCTCCGAATGCTGAACGGGTTTCTTTTTTCATCAATGCCCTCACTCCCCCTCCGTTGGACACAGACACACTCCGACTTAGGGCATTCCACTAGTATTTCCATAATGTACCTGACTGCTACGTTGCATAGAGTACACGTATGGGGGCTTCCCGTATGAAACATACATGTTATTTCTGTACGGGATTTGTACGGGAACCTGTACGGGAACCTGTACGTTTTGTACGCCCCCATACGAAAAAGCAAAAAAAAAAAAAAAAAAAAAACAGTCATCAAAAAAATCCAAAAACAAACAATGTGATGCGACAACACAAAACAAGCAACATTTGGCTGAGCATCATCTTCAGATTCTTATTAGAATTTGAGAAACAAAATAAAAACAATACCGAATTTAAAAAAAAAAAAAAAAAACTCGGACGGGGCCCCTAGCATACGAGTACAAGAGTACGAATCCGTACTCGTACGATGGTGCGTACAAGTGACAACGTAACCTGACTTCAATTATGACCAGGCCCGGATGAATCTTACGGCTATCATTTCTAGAATTCAATACATCAAATTCTGGTGTGAGTACTCCCTTAATCAGACAATACTTGCTGAATGCATTGGGAAGTTCAAATGTGAAATGGCAAAAAGGTAGCATACACAATTGGGGGTTTGTGCACATGCTACGATGGAAGAGTTTGATGAGTACCAACAAAAAAACCAGTGTAGACAAGTGGAACATCAGTCCGATAAACGAAGAAGCCTTTACCTCACACTGCTCACAACTGTTGTGGAAGACATGAACGTTGAACTATGGCTCTGTTCCCCGAGAGCATTACGTTGGAAACGCCCGTACCAATGAAGCTTTGACTTTTGACCTCAAACAACAGACTATATTATCAACTGCTGCATCGAAGTGTTGGCCTTGCAAGGCTGACTGCTTATCCGCCGACGTCACTCGCAATTTATAAATGAAAACGTCATCCCCCAACTATGCTCGTTTGTAACTTCATTCGCCATAGGAGGCAAGGACGGGGTGCAAATAGTCAGACACTGTGTGTATGTATATGTGTGTATGTGTGTGTGTGTGTGTGTGTGTGTGTGTGTGTGTGTGTGTGTGTGTGTGTGTGTGTGTGTGTGTGCGTGTGAGTGTGTGTCCCGCATAATATGACACGTTCGCGGTATGATACGGAAACCACATCATGATAAAGATCCGAAATAATATATTAGCACACCTTAAGAATGAAAACTTGTAGGCGTGGTGCAAACTTATCCGATATTCGGAGGTTGGGAATGACTATGCCGGACTACATGAGCAAGCTCATGAATAAGAATATGTAGGCGTGGTGCAGACGAAACCTATACTGTAAGGTGGGGAATGACTATGCCGGACTACAAGAGCATTCATACTCCCACTTCCTCTTTGCGAGCGACTGGAACACACACGATTAACAGACACCACAAGATGGGGAAAGGAAGTACAATAAGGCAAAAGGCAAGGACGCAATGACAACAAACTGCAGAAAGGCGTAAGGACTGGGGGGGCACAGGGGAAGTGGGAGGGAAGACCATACATAAATGCACAAAATAAGGAACTTTCAGACAAAAGAAAAGTGCAAGTACAGAAAATTACCCCAAGCAGCAGATAACAGGTAACCGCAAAGGACAATGGGTGGAGGGCACGAGGAAGGCGGGAGGGTAGACGTCACTCAAACATAGACAGCAAGAAAAACAAAATATATATATACAACTTGAAGTCCCAAAAAAACAGCGAAGACTGAAAACAAATAAAAAACTGATGATGATAAGATTGTTTCGTCGGAGCCACAATGACTCGTCAAGAGGCTGAACCCTTGACAATCTGGGGAATCTATGTATTTGATGGTTAAGGTCATGAACCCGTTGACCCTTGTTCAGGGCAGACTGTCCCCAAGCGGAACAGAGCAGCGTATTCCACGTTGTCTCTTATACACATCTAGATGTGTATAAGAGA